AAAAAGCGGGTTTTTATTTTTTTAAGCCCTGTGAGCCAGGACCAATAGGGAATTCATGACAACCTAATAAATAGTTCAGCATTTGCCAGTTTTCATGAAAGCTGAATCCCTATTACCTGTAGGTCATAACCTTGGGCTCATTAATTTTCTGCCATGTGGATCCATCTTCTGGTGCCTACGATCCAGGGGTGAGACCTTGGCAGAAAAGACAAAAGTAAATTATAGAAAGGGAATGAAATTTTCTGTGTCCTTATACTTGAGAAGGATCAAGCCCTGTCATTTGGTTGAATAAAGTGAGAAGTGTTATTTGTGCATCCCACCCCTCTCTTCATTTCTCAGCATCTCCACCTTTTCATAGACTTCTCCCTTCTTCTTCTTCCCCCATGCTCAGTCTCTTCTGTGTTTGTGATTAAATAGTGCACGCAAAAGATTGCTTTAAATGGTAATGCTTTAAATAATTACGTTGTGGGCACTAAGAATATACACTTTAAGGATAGATGGAAGAGAGCAGACCACAGTTCTTGACTTGATAACATTTTCAATGATAATCATTCAAACTCAGGCCTCTGTCACAACTTAGATGACAATAAAAATATATTCTGGAAAATTGCTGTAGATAACTCAAAAAGTTTGCTTTAGATAAACACTAATGTCTTGAAGATATAGTAGTAGTTTGAATAAATTTTTATGTAACTGTCAAGTAGATTGTGTAAGAGGGTATTTTAGTAGTATTCTACAAAGATACATATTTTTTATTATATTTTCTTGGCTGGATCTGGTGGCAGAGTCCTATTATCCCAGTGAGTTCAAGGCCCACCTGGGCTACAGTGAGAACATGACTGAAAATAAAAAAGGACCAGGGATGTGGCTCAGTGGTAAAGCACTTGCCTGGCATGCATGAGGCATGGCTAAATAAATAAAAAAAATTGGGCTGTGGATTTAGCTCAATGGAAAAGCACCCCTAGGTTTCATCCGTAATAACACAAAAATAAATAGAGTTTAATATTAATTTTCAAAGTTGATCAGAAACTATAATATTTATTTAATATTAAATTATTTAATACTGTTTAGTTTTTTTCACATTTAAGTAATACAAAAACCTTTTGTATAAATTTACAATTTCACTCCCATTTCTAAAATTCATAAATAGATCTTTTGATTATTTAGCAGGTAACATCTAAAGGAACTGGTTTAAATCCTAATGCCAAAGTATGGCAAGAAATTCCTCCTGGAACTCCTGATACCACTACTGTAGCTCATGGAACTGAAAGCTCTTGGCATGAAACAGCAGCCACATCAGGGTCTCATCCTGAAGGTAAGTCCTAAATGTTTCATTGGAAAAATTACATTTAAGTTAAATGGTAATGCCAAACCAGTCTGTAGAACTTGGAATACATCCTTTGATTGTTTACAAGATAGATTTGTAAATATTTTATATGTTGTTTGTATATATTGTCACTATTTGAAGTAGTATTTGTGACTGGGTCCAGTATCTAACCCATTTATAATATACTTATCATTTATAATCAGTTTATAAGTTAATTTTGAATTGCCATCATCAGCTCTGCTTTTTACTCACTGTTAAAATTTGGACAAATGACTTCTGTGCTTACTTATTCTTTTATCTGTAAAACAAATAATAATTGCCTACAGCATAAGATTTTCTGAAAATTAAGTGGATAGAATTCATTTGAGTAGTCAGATACATAGCTAGTGCTATATGAGTTTTAGTTATTGTTAATTATTTTATCATATCTATAATGGTGAAAACTTACTCCCTTGAGGAAATACTGTTAACTTAAAACCATGGGAAACTTTTTCTGACTAGTAGAATTCATTGAAATTGTGTTGTAGAAGACATACTGACCAAAATTCTTGAAGATAGGATTTAAAGAATTCCTATTTACTTTCCCTATTTTTTCTTGAATATAGGAAATGCTGAGCTTTCAGAAGATGTATGTAAGGAATATGAAGTAATGTATTCTCCATCTTGTGAAACCACAAGAAACACTACAGGCATTGAAGAATCAACTGATGGAATGATATTAGGACCTGAAGAGCTGAGTTACCAAATATATGATGTTTCTGGTAAACTCTGTTGTTTTATTGCTTTTTAAAATGATAATTTAAGGGCTGGGGATGTGGCTCAAGCGATAGCGCGCTCACCTGGCATGCGTGCGGCCCGGGTTCGATCCTCAGCACCATGCACAAAAAACAAAGATGTTGTGTCTACCGAAAACTAAAAAAAAAGAATATTTAAAAAATGATAATTTAGTTCTTTTCTTTGAAAAACTTTCTTACATGTTAGGTGAATGTTAAAAATATCCAAACATGAAATATGTAATTTAAAAATAATATTTAGTTCATGAGGGTCCTACTGAAAGAAGTTAAGAGACCTAAATTGCAACCTTTCATAAGTTTAAGTTTTTAGGACTTAGCTGTCATTACAAGTTCTGTCAATTTTCCTGTCATTTTTTTCAGATAAATAAATACATATGTATCCACACCTGTTATTATAATAGATAGATATTCAATTGCCAATTTTTTTTTTTTTTTTTGGTGGGTGGGGACTGGGAGTTTAACCCAAGGGTATTCAACCTCTGAGCCATATCCCCAGCCCACTATTTATTTATTTATTCATTCATTCATTCATTCATTTATCTATTTATTTATTTATTTGTTTGTTTGTTTGAGACAGAGCCCTGGGTACTCAACCCCTGAGCCACTTTCCCATCCGTTTGTTTGTTTGTTTGTTTGTGACAGAGTCTTGCTAAGTTGCTTAGGGCCTAAGTTGCTGAGGCTGGTCTCAACCTTGCAGTCCTCCTGCCTCAGCTTTCTCAGTCGTTGGGAATATAGGCGTGTACCACCATGCCCAACGGAGATTAATTTTAAGAAAAAAATCATACTAAACACACAAGTTCCACTGCAGTTTAACCTGTAAGCTATATATATATTTGTACATTCTTTTAATTGAAATGGAGTAGTTTTCACTTAAATTTATGGTTGATGAATTTTTCAAAAGAAACTAAAAATGAACCAAAAAGCTGGATTTGCTACCTTTATTTTTCTAAGATGTAAGATTTTTTGTTAGTTTTTGACATGGGGTCTTGCTGTGTTGCCCAGGAGGCCTCAAATTCATTATTCACCTGTCTTAGCCTCAGGAGTAGCTAGAGTTAAAGGCGTGTGCCAACATGCCAGCTTAAAGGGTCTTATTGAACAATAATTGTAACATGGAGTAGGTATTTGTTTTCCACGTTTATATAGCTCTTCAGGCAAGGTCTATAAGTTTTTGTCCTCATTACCTTATTATAGGCATTCAGACTACATTTTTTAAATCCATTGGTTTAAAAGATAAGTTCTGAAATGAGGTATTCTCACATGATAACTTAAGATGGAGAGTTCTTCTAGCCTGTAGTTCTAATAAAGTTAACCACTATCCATTTTGAACATGGAGTTGGTTTAAGTTACGTTACAACCCCTTGGTGTTTTAGAGTTTGCTATAATGGTCATCAGAAGGGTAACCAAATTGATAGCGTATTAAACTGGCATTCGGGTGGATTATATATACATAGAAATAGAATGTTGGCAGGAGGTGTGCTGGGGATGAAATCTAGGGGCACTTAATCAACTGAACCACATCCCCACCCCATTTTATTTTTATTTTGAGATAGGGTCTTGCTAAGTTGCTTAGGGCCTCAGCCTCCTAAAATTGCTGGGATTACAGCACCTGGCAAAATGGTTCTTATGGTCATTATTAATGAAGTTAACTAAATATGTAACTTTGATTCTTGAGTAGCAAGACAATTTAGTGGTAAAATCATAGACAAAGATAATTCAGCTTCCTATTCATCCTATTGTCTCTATTTAGAGAAAAGTTAGTTTCTATTATCATTAATGCTTTTTTAAGAAAAGGACATATTATATGCTTTTAGTCTGGAAGATGGTGTAAGATTCTAATTTAGAGTGGTGGTTTTCCATGATTGCTTCCTGAGAAAAAAGCTCAGGTGCTGTGTTTAAACAGTAGAAAGCACAGAAGGCCATTAAGAGAGTTGATCTGATCCTTTGAATGCTAGAATGCTGTAAATATAAGTAGGGAGGTATAGTACTCTAAAATCATAGAATGAAGAAGAAAAGTATTTTATAGAGTTTGAAGAGTGAGACTAAAATCAGTAAGAGAAATACAATTATATAAATATGTCCCAATTCGTTTAGCCAATTTGTTTTCCAATTTAGATTACTGTTACTTTTGTTCAGCTTTGAGTTCCCCTTAAAGAAATAAATAGTTGTCACTTTTTTTAAATGTTTAATGCAGTGTTTTACAATGTGGTAGTCGAGCACTTTTGGTATTAATGGTTCTTTTTTTATTTGTTTGGCAAAATAATTTTTAAACTAATATGAAATTTATCTGTAAAAAGATTGGAAGAAATTGGACCCTAATCTGTTATAAAAATTATTTAAAAATACACTTTTGAGGTAAAATTTAATTTGTGCATACTTATTGACTTTGAGTACAATACATAAATTTCATCACCTACAATAATTTGATATTAACTTTTTCCCCCTCTTGTTTTCTATTATCAGGAGAAAGCAGTTCAACAATTTCTACAGAAGACCTAAAAGAATGTCTAAAGAAACAATTAGAATTCTGTTTTTCACGGTACAGAATCATTTTTATTGATATTTTTCCTTTTTTTGAGTTATTTGGTTAGTATAATACCTATTTCATGAGTAGAAGAATGTTGGTTCTCATTTCTTTGTAGTACTGTATTTTGGTATCATTTGTGGTATATTTTTAATCTAAATTTAAAGATGAAATCTCCAGTTAGATATGCAAAGAATCTGTTCTCAGTAGAAAGATAATGAAGTTTCTATTAGATACTTTTTCTATGAACATATTCAGGCTCAGGGTTCTCAAAAGTAATTATCAAACAAAAATTAAAAATCAAATTAGGGCTGGGATATAGCTCAGTGGTAGAGCACTTGCCTAGCAAGTGTGAGGCACCGCATGAAAAATAAATTTAAAAGATATTGTATCCATCTACAACTTAAAAAAATCGACAAATTAATGGAGAGGTAGGGGAAAATACTTCTTTGATTTTAGGAATTGACTCTTGTAACTTTTTTGAACATAGTTATTTTTAGCAAGGTAGTAAGGAGATAGGCAGAGGGATTATATACTATCAGTGTCTTCTGTTAAATACAGAGTCCATTTAGGCAATGTCTTATGTATCTGGATGCCTTGGCACACACCTGTAATCCCAGTGACTCAGGAAGCTGAGGCAGGAGGATCACAAGTTGCCAACTTGGGCAGCTTAGCAAGGCTGTGTCTCAAAATGAAAAATAAACGAGGCTGGGGGTTGTGGCTCAGGTAAAGTGCCCCTTTTTATGTATGTATGTATGTTTTTAGGTATGTATGTATGGTGCTTGAACTCAGTGCCTCACACATGCCAGGCAAGTGCTCTACCACTGAGATTCCCCTCATAACTTCTTTATACATAATGAACCCTTGAGCCATGTTTAATTAATTCTTTATCCTAAATAACTCCTGTATCTTATTATCTTCTTTTTTAAAAACAAAATATTTGTTTATTTTTATTTTTTAGTTGTAGGTGGACACAACAACTTTATTTTTATGTGGTGTCAAGCGCTCTACCTCTGAGCCCCAGCCCTCTTATTATCCTCTTTACATTCTTGTATAGTTTGCAGGATGAAAACAAGAGTCTCCTGACTTTTTTCTCTAATAGTTCTGCCTATAATATAATTTATTTTCTAGAACATACTTGTAATAGTTACTTTATTTTACTTATTGTTGCTGAGTACAGTTTCACGGCTATAATCCTAGCTACTAGGGAGGCTGAGGCAGGAAGATCAAGAGTTTGAGACCAGTCTGCACAAATAGCAAGACCCTATCTCAAAAAATATCTTTTTTTTCCCTATAGACCACTTGTGGGTCTGCTTCTGTTGTCTAAGTTTTTCCTTTTATCCTCCACCATAGTTTCTTGCCTTTTTGCATGTCTTACAAATGTTGATTGTATGCTGGGCATTACATATATAAGAAGTATGTAAGGGCTGGGGATGTGGCTCAAGCGGTAGCGTGCGCGCCTGGTATGCTTGCGGCCCGAGTTCGATTCTCAGCACCACATACCAACAAAGATGTTGTGTCCGCCAAGAACTAAAAAATAAACATTAAAAATTCTCTGTCTCTCTTCTCTCATTCTCTCTTTAAAAAAAAAAAAAAGTGTGTAAGCTGTAGGTAATAATTTTCCAATCTAGGCAAGAATTAAGCTTCTATTAGGCAGATAGAATGAAATATTGATTGCTTTAATCTAGTCAGGAATTGAACTGGATCAAATCTGAGCAGCCATTTTAATTAGACATAGTTCCTCCAGTTTCTCTTCATTAGGAACATCACTAATTTTTCAGAGATTTGAAGTTAGCTCTTTATCTTCTTAAGCCATACAACCTACATCTGGCAAATGCTTTGCTGGGGAGACTTGTTTCATGCAGGTTCTGTTTCCATTGGGACCACACAGATTTTACTTTGCCTTTTCATCCTGGCTCACAATCTCATATTCCTTAGAACTCAGGAAACTCTGTCTTGGGAACTAATGTAAATTTTCAATTCATAGTGTTAATCATGTGTCAAGTATATACTCTTCATACCTATACATAACTGCCTAAAGCTCTGCTGGCTTCTTTCTTGCTCAGTATAGTTTCTCTATGCAAATGCACTCCATAAGGTCTTTCTAATATTAGTTGTTTTTGTCTTTGAAGCTTCCACACCTCTCCTATTATCTTTCAAAACATAATTCTTGTAATTTATCCAAGCTTTTTTAGTGTTGGTAGTAGGAGCTCTTGCACATGTTATAGTACATCATGTCTAAGACTGTGATGCTGTTCAGACCAGCCAGGTGGTTATCATTTGTAGTTCAGCAAGATTGCCATTAAAGCCAGGCATTGTGGCACACACCTGTAATTCCAGCAAACCAAGGCTGAGGCGGAAGGCCAACTGGGGCCAGCCTGGGGATGTGGCTTAGTGATTAAGCACCCCTAGGTTTAATCCCCAGCACTCCCCCGGCCCCACCCCCTACCCCTCCAAAAAAAAAACCAAAAACAACTTGCCATTAATATATGTCAAATATTATTCATGAATAGGTAAGTCTGAGATGCTATATCAATTATTTTTATTTACTTCTGAAAAGGTATAGTAGTTTTTTGTTTGTTTGGTTGGTTGGTTATTTGGTGTGATTTTGATTTTGGTGGTGCTAGGGATTAAACCCAGGGCCTTGTGCATGCGCTGCAAGCACTCTGCCAACTGAGCTATATCCTCAGCCCCAAAGGTGGTATTATTAAAGTTTTATTAGCACATTTTGACACATGATTTATTATAATAGATCTGCCAAAAGACAGGGTAGGTTTAGGCTACAGCCTTTTAGTTGTGCAAAAATTGTTTATGGTTATCTAATTTTCAAGTATATTCATTATTCTTGTTGATTAGGATGTTATTAATATGTTTCATTTATATGTGGTACTGAGAATCAAACCCAGTGCCTCACACCTGCCAGGCAAGTACACTACCACTGAGCCCCAGCCCAGCTACATCCTTTTATTTTTTACTTTGAGATAGGGCCTCCCTAATTTGCTGAGGGTCTTACTAAATTGCTGAGACTGTTCTTGAACTTGTAATCCTCTTGCTTCAGCCTCATGATTTGCTAGGATTACAAGCATGGGCCACTATAGCCAGCTGGACACAAGGCTTTTGAAACACTGAACAAAAGAATATCATTCATGGAACCCATATTCTGGTGTGGGGACAGGAAAAAATAAGCAGAATAATTAAGTAGTTTATAGTAATATGTTTGAACATTGCTGTGGGAAAAAATTTAAAAGTATGGTTTAAGTAAAGGAAAGAGATTCCAAAGTGCCTATGTGGGTTTTTTTGTTTGTTTGTTTGTTTTTTTAAGAGAGAGAATTTTTTAATATTTATTTTTTAGTTTTCAGCGGACACAACATCTTTCTTTGTATGTGGTGCTCAGGATCAAATCCGGACGCGATGCCGCTTGAGCCACATCCCCAGCCCCCCTTCGTGGTTTTAAATATGGCAGTTAGGTCAGGGGTCTGAGAAGGGAGCTTTTAAGCACAAACTTCTAGCAAATTTTGCTAGTCTGCTTCAAAGAATATTTGATATGAATGAAAAGACAGGAATTTAATTTATTTCAATTTGTTAAAAAGATTTTATGTGTAGTAAGTATTTGTATCTTTTTTTAAAATGTATCTTAGAAAACTATTTTCTTCATTTAAATATATATTTTAAGTTACAAAGGTTAAACATGCTAAAAAAAAACATCCAGGTAGGCTCAATGGGGGCTCATCTGTAATCCAGCTACTCAGGAGGCTAAGGCAGGAGGATTTCAAGGTGAAGGCTATCCTGGCTACTTTGGTGATACCCTGTAGGTTCATTCAATCCCCAGTACTGACTCTGCACCTAGAAAAATTCTCATATGCATATTCTAATATTGATGATAAATTGTGTATAAAATGGAACTATGCTCTATGTAATACTTTGTAATATGCCATTTAATATTAAGCATTTTTTATATAATTCAATAAAATCACTTGTCCAGAACTATGGGGCCAAGTATATTTAGGGATCCAGAAACTTTATGAAAGATTACCAATGTATATTATGTTGGTATCTTTGAACATGAACTTTTAAATGGATTTTTCAACGTTTACTATGTTAATTCTAATAGCATAAATTTGTTTCCCTAGACATAGTGACAAAAGTGAGTAAGGTACTTTTTTTTCCATAGATGCTTTTTAAAAATTGCTTGTTATATTGCTTTTGTTTATTCGTTTCAGAGAAAACTTGTCAAAGGATCTTTATTTGATATCTCAGATGGATAGTGATCAGTTCGTCCCAATTTGGACAATTGCCAACATGGAAGAGATAAAAAAATTGACCACAGATCCTGATCTAATTCTTGAAGTGTTGAGATGTATGTAAATAACCTTTTAGCTTATTTTTAAAACTTAAGAAGTTAAATATTTTTTTGGATTTTTTATTTCTATTTTTTTCTAATAAATTATTTTTACTGGCCAGGATGTATGTATACAGCTTCTGTGTCAGTTGTATTTAGCAATTGTAAACAATCAAATCTCATTTCATGGGCTACTAGAAAGCTTATTCCTCATACCTTGTAAAGCGATCTGTTTGAAACTTTTGAACCAACCTAAGGTGAATGTTTACATTATAGTCAGATAAACTTGCCACATATCTACTACACACAATTGAAATGTCAGTTTTACAAGTTAATACTGTATATTTGCAACAAACTCATTTCTTTTGTCTTAAAGTGATTTTGTGACTTACACATGAGTTGTGACCTACAGTTTGACAAATACTTCTGAAATTTGGTAAAGAATTTATATTTCTTGGTTGAGGCTCTAAGAATTTTTAGTGGTCTTCTGAAAGAGGTAGAAATAAAACTTTTGACAATGGGATTCCTCAAAACCAACATCTAAATGGGTTTTAGATCTTTATAGTAGAATATAAAAGTAAATATATTTAGATGAGGCCCTTAACTAATTAATTAAAATCATAATTATAGGTGCTTCGTGCTCTCCGAAGGTTTCTTTTTAGCCTCAACACAGTGCTAAGTTGAAGTATGTACTCTGTTTCTTTTGTTTGTTTTTTCTTGGGGCCTTACACGTGCCAGACCCACATCCCCAACCCCCAAAGTACATACTCTGAATATTTAATGTTTTTTGCATATAAACTTCCGTTTTTTTAAAAAAAAAATTGTAACTTATGTTTGCTGTATTAACCTAGCCTCTGCTAGTGTATTCTATGGAAATTAAAATGCATGGTTTTTTAATGGTGTTATTAACATCACCACCTGTCACAAATGAAATCACTTTTTAAAATTTCAGCTTCTCCTATGGTACAAGTTGATGAGAAGGGTGAGAAGGTGAGACCAAGTCATAAACGTTGTATTGTCATTCTCAGAGAGATTCCTGAAACAACACCAGTAGAGGTAAATCATTCATTAATCATTTGTAAGTTAAATGTTCTTTAACTGTTTAAATTGGAGGAGGTACATAAGCAAAACATAAGACAGTGTCCTGTGTTAGTTACTGTCTATAGGATAAATATTAATTTGTTTTCATAATTCTGACATATTAGAAAAACACAGAGGGAGAAAAACATATAATTCTATGTTCTGGAAGGGTAGGCTAAGCAGTGAATCAAATTCTGAATTTTTTGGTTTGACTCAATTACAGTTAAAATATAAATGGGGATTTGGGTGCACTGGTACTCATCTGTGATCTCAACAACTTAGTCCTAAGCAATGTAGTGAGATGAGACCCTTGTCTTTAAAAACAACAACAAAATGGACTGGGGATATGGCTCAGTTTCTAAGTGTCCCTGATTTAATCCCTGATACCAAAAAATAAATTAATAAATTATAAATGGGCTATTTTGAGAACTTATGGATTCATTTGGAAGAATGTATAAAAAGAATCTTGAATAAGTACTAATGATGTGAGATAAACTCTGTTGGTTAGCAAAATATAAAGCAAAGCTGTAGTCATAAAGGTGGTATGATACAGGTATAAGAATATAATGTTTGAGCTAGACATAGTGGTGTATGCTGTATAATCCCAGCAACTCCAGAGGCTCACGAGTTCATGGCCATGCTGGACAATTTATAGCAAGACTCAGAAAATAAAAAGGTTCCATCCCCACTACTCAAAAAAGATAGTAATAAATAGAAAGGACTGGGATGTAACTCAGTGGTAAAATACCCTTGGGTTCAATCCCCAGTGCAGGGGAAAATGAGAAGCCAGGGGTTTTTATAACCTGTTTTAAGATAAAGAACTGATTTTGGGGGGCGGGGGACTAGTTCGACAGAATACTTTTATTATTATTTTTTGTTTGTTTGTTTTTATGTGGTGCTGAGGATCGAACCCAGCACCTCCCCTGTGCTAGGCAAGTGCTCTACTGCTGAGCCTCAACCCCAGGCCCCCCCCCCCCCAAAAAAAAAACTGATCTTTAAGTGGTTGAGTAATTGTCCAAGGATAAATGGGCAGTTACATGAGAGAGTCTACATTTAAACTTGATCATCTGATTCAGAAGCCTGTGTTTCTTAACCACTGTGTCCATTTTAAGACTAAATCTAAAAAGTTGAGGATTGATCATTAACTTGTTTATTGTAATTTATTAGCCATGTTTAGAATTTTTAGTCCCTTGCCACATAGTAAATAATGATGCCTTAGTAGCTAATCTTTTTACCCAAAGTCATTCAGTATTCAGTATCTAGAATGAAGATTTCCTAAACAGAGAAAGAAGCAGAGAGAAATTAGAAAAGAAACTGTCACAAGATCTTTGAAACTTAAGAGTAGTGACCTGGTACATAAAATATTCTTTGTCAATTTTGTATTTATTTTAATTTTTATTCTGAATACATAAAGAGTTTACTACATGAAAAACAATAAAATAAGGTGATAGTGAACAATATTACCAAAAAAGTAAAGGAAGTATAGATGATTAAAATAGCCAGATAAAATAAATGTAGGCAATAATCACTGAAATTTTTATTAAAATGTGAGTAGTCAAGGTAGTGACCCTTTAAGGTTCCTGGCAAAATAAATTTTTGCTTACTCTAGACTTAATGCTTGCAAAAGTAAATCTGTGAGCATAACTTCTTGTGGAATGATGAAAGTGGAAAATAAGCATTTTATTAAAATCTTTTAAAATTAATTCATTAAACATTTTAAGGGAATAAGAAATATATACAGTATTGATGGTACTTTAAAGTAAAGATCAGTAGTAAGTGGCAACCTAATAGTTTCATACAGATACTCAGTGATGTAATTTTGGGATTACATGGTGATTTTCTAAACTGAAGTTGATGATAATTTACCACTTTCACAAAAGTTATAGAACTTGATGGTTTTCCACTTTTTAAAATTTCAAAAATTTGATGCAATGTCATTTATCACAATGAGAACATTCTTTTTTAAATTTGGTGTCTTTGGGC